TACACTGTCCGCATGCCTAATGCTTTCTGTCCCCCCGACTAGTCTGGAAAAGGCCTGAGAATAAGTGGCCCTTTCTCCCTGGTTTCACCCTTTGTGTGGACCCACTGCGGCACTGGGCAAGAATTCAACAAAAGCTTATGGAATGCATGAATGCATAACATTAATTAACCAAAGAGTTAAAACTGTCCAGAAATCTAAATCTCACCCTTTTATGTCTTGCACCAAGCAAGAATAAGTTCATCCAAATTTCCTCCAAGGGGCTGAGGATACAGTTCAGGGGTAGAGTGCTTGCCTAACACCGGGGTTCAATCTCCAAAACTGGGAGGACAAAGAATCTCCTCCCCCCCAACATGATGCCACTGTCCTTGCAGACATTCACTATAGAATCCACTCAACCTCACGCAAGGGCAGTCCGTCCAGGCGGCAGAGCAACGTCAGGCCCTCTGTCTCCTGCCCCATCATGTATGTCCAACTCTTTGCTCAGCTAGTCTATCTTATTCCAACCCCTGTGAGGAGGCTGGAGAGAATAAACAGAAAAAATATAAGCCCAGGCGTAGATTCAGGCCCAAGGCACATCTGTATAAACACGACCCCATTTAGTCTAATAAAGCCAGACCTACAGAGTCATTCCTCTCGTGGCCCAGTGGAGAAACTAAGGTACAGAGAAATTAAAAGGCTCTCCCAGTGAAACAAATCGAATCAACAGAAGAGGAAAACAGGCCCCCTGACTTCCCAGAAATTTTTCCCCAATGCACAGACTTCAGCTTGAATCATTAGACTCTCAAGCAAGGATCCAGAGTATCCACAGAACAGACCTTTTTCAAAATACCACGGGCGAGGAGGAAACACCGGATCTGAAGGTTTATTTACCATTCCTAGCCTGACCTTCCAGGAAGAATGTCACTAATGAGAAACAATCGACTTGGGCTCCCAAACCCAGAATTTTCATAGGGATCAATTTAGAAGTTCAGCTTCTAAATAGAACAAGGGTAATGTCGACTGTCTTCCCTTCAGAGAAAAAAAAAAGCCACTTTTTCCTGTCTGGAAGGAAGTTCTGTAAATGTCAAGCAAATCTCAGAGCCGAGGTTACATGTTTCCCACTGTCCCAGCCCCGAATGGATATCCACTGGGAGAAGAAGGGAAGATCTGTCCTCATGTAGTGTGGGCTGAGGAAAGCAGAAAATGAAAGGGAAAGAGGTGACTGGAACCATGTTTCCCTAAAGAACTGACCTTACAGTTGGGCCAGGAGTCAGAAACTCTGTTCTTAGGACCATATCCCATTCTGGTTCACGTCCAATCGATGGTTTGTTTCAGTGTGCATGAGACACTTCCCTGACAGCCAAGTAGAGGAACCAGGCCGGCTGGGATCACAGCTACCTTGCTAGCTGCCATATCTTAGTACCAGCAAATGTCTGTCACCAATAGGGCCTCCCTAATTAAAAGAATGGATTAAACAATCAGCCAGTGTAAGACAGCCAGCAAGTGTTGCTTCATTTTCTTCTTCTTTTTTTTTTTTTTTTTTTTTTTTTTTTTTTTTTTTTTTTTTGTTGCTTCATTTTAAAAGTAGTTTTTCCTCAGCAGATGATGAGACGGCTTTTTAAGTTTCTATTCTACGGCCTGGGTCATCTGTCTGCTCATCCTATTCTGTGGATTAGGTCCTTAGTGACAAATGCTATTGTTTTGGGTTTTTTCCATAATTTTATTGAGAAACAAATAGCAATGAGACAGTTTCAAATCAAATTGGTAAGACAGTTACAATAATTAACACATTGCATACATTCCTCCCAATGGTTAATTGCTGTACAGGATGCGGACATGATATTCTATTTACAAACACCATTAGAATAAATCCCTCTTTTCATTAAGAGAATGTAACTATATATCTATCCTAACCACTTTGAATACACAGATACAAAATGGACATTCACCTGTATCCCCCTTTTTTGTTAAGTTCCGTTATTGAATATTATAGGTGTGTAAACTTAGCAAAATATTCTAAAAGATTCCAGCAGCCCATGATAGTATTGGGTCTTCTGCTTGACTGGGAATGTCAGAAATTGTTCACCAGAGTTCCCTACAGCTCAACATAACAGCATGGCTTTACTTCTTATATTTTGTTTTTATACTTTTCTGCTGGGTGGTTGACAAATGCTATTGTAATCAAAAGTTCCTAAATGCCACAAATGAATTCTCTTAAAACTCCGCCCCACATCTGAGTTAGTTGTAGATCTGCTGGGGTATTAGCAGCTCTGCTGGGATGGCCTAACTGTGGCGGAAACAACCAGCTCCCTACTTCGCCTGCCTCCACCGCCGGCTGCCACTCGGTGCTTCTCTCCTACCAACTCTGTCCTCGGTAGACTCTGGCCTCAAATTTCTTTTGGGGAAGAAGTCCCAACTTGTCTACTAGGAAAACAAGGGTACACACTGAATGATTTTAGCTGAGCTGTGTGTCAGCTAAAGAAGGTCTCAGACAGTGATGCTGGACTGGCATGTACATCCTGGTCCTGCTGATATAATGGTTGTCTCCACCCTGAGCAAACAGGTCTCTCTGCGGCCTGGGATCTTTCTCTATAAAACAGGGCTAATAACTGTGTGTACTTTGTGGGGTCTGTGAAGAATAAATAAGTCATTGTCCATAGAATGCATGTGATGATGCCTGGCACCCTATAAATACTATGTAAGTGCTGTATATTTACCTGTAAAATGAGTGTGCCTGTGGTCTCCCATCATGCCCACACCTGCCTAACCAGGAATGCTCACTACCTCAGAGGGCCTGCTGCTGTGTTTTCTATGCACCTGCTCCATCAAATGCCTCCCAGACCAGGTGCAGATAAAGATACATGTTTGCGCCAGTGTTGACCAAGAGGGGCAACGTGGGACCCTGTCAAGTGTCCTGTCTTACGTGGCCCTGGGGGGGGGGGAGACTCTACCGGGATGGACAACTGCTTAGACATACGAGGCCCAAAGTAATCTGAGTCTTCCTGCCTTCCGCTGGGAGGAACATCGAAGCATGGGGATTCTGTTCAGAGAGCGGGAGGCCAGATCACAAGGTACTTCGGGGCCTGGGAAGGAGTGTGGGTCCCTGAGACCTCAGAGCCTCCAGTCTCTGCACTCAGTTCAAGGCACAGCACCTTTTGGTCTGGAGTCAGGAGCCTTCTGCCAATCAGTGATGGAGCCCAGAAATTGAAGTCCCCACTTCTGGAGAAATCCTTATCACATCATCTCTTACATTAGCATGAGCGCTTCTCAAATATCCCAAGTCCATATGTGTGGCCCATTTAATGATAATGAAACTGAGCTTGCAAAAAGTTATCACCTGAGGCAAAAGACTCAGCATTCGATCCAGGCTGCTGCCTTGTTTAATTTCTTGGTAGTGATTCCTACCCCCCACCCCCACCCCATCCCCATCCCCACCCCCACCATGCTTGTTTCCTCCAAAATAAGCTGCTTGGTAATTTTGTTCACTAAATGTTCTGAACTGACCCAGCCTCCTAGAAAGTCACCAATACCCAATTGATAATTCCTGACAAACTTTATTAATGATCAATGCAAGCTAGAGCTGGGAATCAACTGGACTCTGGAAAATGGCTCCCCCTAGCCAGAGAGAAAACTTAATTTTGAACTGAGCCTCCCTCTAGGCTAGAAACAGCAGCCCCAGGTGTGCCCCTCTCTCTACCCAATCTGCAGTTCGTGATTAGAGGCTCTAATGGCCCTAATGTCTCCAATGTGGGGTTTAAACTAGCGCAGCTTCAGAGACGCTAAGGTATGTTTAATAATGGCTTAATGACTTCTTGAGAGATGCAAGGCTTCTGGTTCCTGTTTGGCCTTGATTTACAGCCCAACTCTGGCTGAGGACAGCCAAGAAACCCCCTCTAAGCCTGCAACGGAAGAGGGAGGTGTTCACACCAGGCCTCTAGGATTCCTTTAAAAATTGAGAATTCAAATGGAATACAAATGATGTGTGACTCCCCACCCCTCTTGCTAGTCTCTGGGGCATTGAAAATATAAATAGTTTAATTTAGACCCAAGGGCTCTTCAGTCCAGGAGATATGAGCCCAGCCTGCAGGCCCTCTGATAATTGTCCCAAATCGCTGGAAGGTAGGGGTTGTTTCTCTTTTTCAGAAGTGCTGAAAGACTGCTGTGATCCTATGCTTCTATTTAGCTGGGGAAACGCCTATCTTGCCCCCCTCACCCACAATGGCAGCCCTGGAGCAGCTGAACCCTGGAGTTGCAGTTAGGATGGGCCCTAAAGGCATTCTCTCCACACAGGCTGCTCAGAGCTACGCTCCTTCACCTGCTCAGCGGCTGTTCAACCCCTAGCTTCACCTGGGAGTCTCCCTGTCTACTCTGGCCTGGCTCTGCCTTGAAACCTGCCACAACTGTGCAAGGAGACTTAGGTTGATTCCACCTACCTCCGATATCAGAGAATTCCCCAAGTGACTGCCTTAAGTCCTGGCCCAAACTCCCCAGCCCCCACTCAGTTTAGAGCTGTTTCCACACCTTGTGTTAAGGACTCCTGTCCCTGTGCAAAACATGAGTTCTCTAAGGGCATTGTGTTTGCTGTTGTGATCTCTCTCTCTCTCTCTCTCTCTCTCTCTCTCTCTCTCCCTAGTCCTCAGCAAAAACAGCAAGGAAAAGGAGCAAACCAAGTCCTGTTCCGGCTTCTTCCTATGGCTGACTTCCGGGGACCAGGACTGTGTTTGTGGAAGGCTGGGGGTCTACTGCCACACTGCCTTACCCCTGGAAAGGCAGAAGCCACTAGATTGGTTAACAGGACCAGCCAGAGGGTGTAGCTCTGAGCCAGCACCGCACCCAGACAGGTAGACAGAAGGGGTCCTGCCCACCACAGGCAGCAGCCCTCCTCCTCTTCCTCTCCTCGAGTGCCTGGGACCCCGGCCTGGGGGTGAGTTGGGGGTGCCCGGGCTCCGAGGGGTTAACCCGCGCGGGGCCGCACGTGACGTGGATAGTTGCAGCATTAAGTCAGAGACGCGGGTCCCCTCCTCTACTCCCCCGCCCCCCGCGGCGCTCGCCGCTCCCGGGGGCTCCTCGCCCCTGAGCCCAGGTCCCTCCCCCTCGGCGGGCGCTCGCAGGCCGCGGCTAGCGGAGCCCGGAGCCCCGGCGGCCCGACTGCCCCGAACCGGAATGGACCCCGAGCGCTGCGCGCCTTTCGGCGTGGGGCCCGCACCCGGCCCCTACGCGGCCGCGGGGGCCGAACCTTCGGGCCCCCAGGGAGCGCCGGCCGCTGCGCCCCACCTGCACCCCGCGCCGCCCCGCGGCCCCCGGCTGACCCGCTTTCCGGCCTGCGGACCCCTGGAGCCCTACCTCCCAGAGCCCGCCAAGCCGCCCGCCAAGTACCTGCAGGACCTGGGGCCGGGCCCGGCGCTCAACGGCGCCCACTTCTACGAAGGCCCCGCGGAAGGTAACGCGGCGCGGAGAGCGCGCAGCCCGACCCTCCCCTTCCCACCCTGGCCCGCCGGGGCCTCCGGCTTCGGTTTCCCGCTCGCCTGTTCGCTTCTGTCCACCTCGCTCTTCACTCCCGCTGCCTCGGAAGCCAGAGTGAGGCTGCCCGCGCCGGGCAAAGGCCAGCGTGGTGCGCGAGGCACAGACACCCGTCCGGGTGGCGGCGGGGCTAGGAGTGGGAGGTCAGGGAGGGTGGAGCAGAGACGGCGGGCACCCATCTGGGGAGAGCGGCTGAAGCCCGGAAGAGGCCAGACTTAGACGGGAGCTAACCGACCCAGAACTCCGGACAGGCCGAAGGCCTGGGACCGCACCGACCACCGACGCTGGAGAGACGCGCACAGCTTTTGTCTGGCGCGCACCGAGCCCGCAGAGGCTGGAGCTGGACCCTGAGTGACCGAGCCGGCTCAGCTGGGCGATGCGGCCTGGCCTTGCCACCTCTCCTCCTCCTACCCAGTCTCCGGAGCAGGTTGCTCACTGTGCATTGCCCATGCTGGTTCTGCAGAGCTCAAGACCGAGTAAAGGTTCTTGGTTCTCGTACTAACCAGCCTCCCCCGCCGCAGTGCCGGCGACAGCCACTCTTTCGCAGTCTCCCATCCCTGCACCGGATCCTCCAGAACAGCCCGAGGCAGGCCTCAGCCCTAGGCTGCTCACAGCCTGAGCTGGGCCCTGGCATCTGAACCGGAGCCTGGCAGGCTGACCCGTGGCCTTGCTGCCACCCGCAGCATCGCCCGCCCCATCTGTGTGGCCGCATCCTGCAGCAGAGGCCAGGGCGGAACCTTCCGAGTTCCGCCGTCCGCAGCCACCGTGCCTTTACGGAGTAGCTTGGCAGCTTGGGCCTTCGTCCCGGCAGGGTCGGTGAGAGCGTAGGAGAGGGCGGGGAGGTGTGTGGGGGTCAGCGGAGGAAATGAGCGCGTCCGCGGAGCGTGGTGTCTGTGTCCTTTGAAAGAGGTTCTCCTGATAAAAACCACAGTTGGGACTTAATGAGAAGCAGTTGGCCTGGCTCCTCTGATCCCTGCCAGACGGCGGCGGTCGCACAGCGTCCAGAGCACCTCCGGGACAGGTACTCAGCCTGCCCAGCGCTCCGCGGGTCGGGACCAGCCCAGGGCCAATGTCTCCGCCACCGGCCGCCCGGACCGCCCCGGCGCTGTGTGCGCTTCGGGGATCTGTGAGCGGACTGAGATGGAGACCCGACGGCTGAAGACCGCAGGCATGCAACGAAATTCAGAGAAAGAAAGCAAAAATGTGTAAAGGGTGACTCCAAAAAAGGAAGAAAATGGAAGCAAATAACAGAGGAGGGCGGCCAGAGCAAGAGTTAAGACAGTGGCGGGCGAGCTGGGCAGGCAGGAAAGCAGGAAAGGAACAAATGAACGAGCAAACGAAGAAGCAGCAGGGGAAGGTCAAAGCAGGCGAGGAAAAGAGGACAGGATGACGGGAGCGAGCAGACAAAACGAAAGGAAAGGGGATGTCTTAAAAGGACGGAACCCCCAAGTGAAAACAAGCGGGACACGAAAATCGACGCTGCAGTCGAATGGGAAAAGGCCAGACGCAGAGGACGCAGCGCTGCGAGCGGAGCACGCACGCCCGGTCCCGACCTGAGCTCTGCGGGCGGCCAAGGAGCTGCAGTGAGACTGCTGGAGAGGGACAGCCTAGGGTGCTGGAGCCTCACGGTCTGCGGGAGCCGTGGAGGGCGAAGGAGGAACTAAAGCTATTTGCCTGCTTTTACAATGCTGGGCTCTGAGCGGTCCCAGTTCAGACCAGTGAGGCTGCAGCTGTGTTCCATGTGCGGCGCGGCTGGGAGTCCCATGCCCCGCGTTCCTCTCCCGCCGCCGAAGCCCGCGGGCCTCAGGCCGCCCTTCGCAGAGTACAGCCTGGCTTTGGACAGGAGCGGTATCCTAGCTGTGCAGCCACCATCGGCTCTCCCAGCTTGGCGCTTGGCTGCACAGCGGGCTTGGGGAGCTGCCCCGTGAGACCTTCTTACTCCCCGCAAGGCACCAGGCGGTCTCTACGCTTGCTTCCTGAGTCGTAAGGGCCCTCTGGAAGTGACTCCTGATGAAGCTTTGCCCCGGCTTAGACCTTGATTCCCTAGGACGCCACCAACCGCGGACAAAGTTGAGAACCTTTAGGGAGAGCATTAAGGTCCCAGAGATCTAGTGCACATTTAAGTCTGCGGTGGCTTCAGATCTTCGCCTAAAGCTGCCGCTGCCCACGCTTCAAGAAATTCCATGCTCCTTTAGAAACTGCGCAGAACAAATTTGCAAAGAGTGGAGATTGTGGCTGCCGCAGTGCAAGCCACCCATCCGGGCAGCAGGGCGCCATGCAGTGCAGGCAGCCTAGAAGGGCTGCTCCATGGCACAGCATCTAGTCCAGACTGGCAGGTGTGATGACCAGGTCAGGGTCAGAGAGTTCTCTGGTACATTAAAGACTCCAGTCCTGGTGCCTGGCTTTCACTCAGGACAGACTGCCACTAGGGTTTGGGGTGGGGGGAAGGCTCAGGTAAAGGATGCCCAGGGACGGAGCCCCAGGCTCCTGGAGTCCAACACTAGTGCTCTTTGTCGCCCACCCAATATGACCCAGGCACACTGGATCCTATACAAACCTCACTGCTGCCCTCCTTACCAGAGCAGCCTTCTCCTGACAAGCCTGAACTTACACTACTGGCTTTCATGCCTGGGCTGCCTGTCCCTGACTGCAGACCTCCATTTACCCCATTTCTATCTGGCTTTCTCCTGGGCCTTGTCCCACAGGAGGCTGCTGGTGTTCTTCAGAGAAGCAATCCTATCTCTCAAAGATAAGCATGCTGCCCTCCCCCTGGAGTCCTCCAGCTGATGGAGGTTCCAAGGTAGTGCTGCTAAGGTCAGGAGCAGTCCTCTGAGAGATCTGTAGATTGGTGAGGCATGGAAAGTAGCAGAGGCCAGTGGGCTTGGCCTCTTTGGAGAGCTGCTCTTCTGCAAAACCCTTCTGCATTTTCATCCCTTTCCCCTGACTGCTGGGTGACTACTGATCAGGAAAGCAAATCCAAACACCCCTAATCTTAGCATTTCTTTTGGGTAGGTTGTATTGAGACAGACACTAAGGGTATGAGAGTGAGTGAGAACAAGCCTCAGGCTTTGAGGGGCTCCCTGAAGTGCTCCCGAACCCCTGCCCTGAGTATCACCTCTTTTGTGCCTAGAGTCCCAGACAGCCTGCCTAAGAACCCAAAGGCCACTGAGGGAGCCTGCCATATGCGAGATGTCCCCTGCAGTTCCCTGCCATATTTTCAGTTCTTCCATTCAACTTACATGAGTCCTGCTTCCTACCAAATGGAATTGTGCCCTCGAACAAGCTATGTTGGCCAAGAATGGACAGCAGAGGCTATGTTTCTTCCCCTAGATTTCACCTGAACTGTGAGGAAGCCTGGTGTCTGGGCTGTCACACTGGAGGCCCAGCTACACCTCCTTTCGGCTGTTCCAGGCCTCTAGCACACACAAGGAGCCTCTTTCATAGTCTGGGTGGTCCTGGGAGGTTATAAACCACCCTCCAGCTGAGGAGGACCTTGTCCAAATTGTCCTTCACAAGGCAGGGTAGGGACTCATCTGACTCAGATCTTGAGAAGCCCATCTCTGGAGTCCTTCCCTCCAGCTGTGAGCTTGATACCCAGTCCCTGCTAGCTGGGCCTTCTAGGGGTAAGGCCCCCACTGGAGATGGGCCTAGGGCCAGGAGAAGGGGCCATGTGAGTCAGCTGTCTTTGTGGCACTGTGGCTGCCATCCCAGAGGACTGATGAAGAGGGGTTTCATGGGGACAACACTGGGGGTCTTTGCCAGAGAGAGGGTGGGGTGACTGGGGTGACCTATTTTTCACCAAACTCTGTTGGTTGATCATGGGGCTCTGTCAAGCTTCCTGAGTGAGGGCTGCCGGGAACTGTTCCCAGTCTGCAGGCGAGCCCTCCCTGCCTGTCACTTGTGCACGATGGGAGAACAATCAGAAACTCCCAAGGAGGGAGCACCAGGCAGGGACTTGTGAATACTGGAGAAGGAAGTGTGCGCATCATGAAGCTGGTCCCCGCTTCTCGCTTACTGAGCATAGCCTGTCTGGTCTCCACCTATCTGTTGGCATAGACCCCATTGCCTTGGGAGGAATGAGCGAAGCCACCCTTTTGGAAAATTATTTGTCCCTACCACTCCAAAGCTAGGAGAGTTAGTGGTGTTGACCTGAGGCTTGGAGTGCAGAGGGAAGAAACAGCACGATCAGCCAAAGGAGGTCTGAGTGTCATGGTCCCTCGCCTTTTTGGTGCTGGGAACAGAGGCATGGCCATGTAACGTGGGAACCAAGGGAGAATCTGGAATGAGGGAGTCCTTCCTGGCAGGGGTGGGAGATGTGGACTATCCCACCCTCACTCCCTGCCCCACTTCTTGGCCTGCCAAAGTGGCGGTCCCTGCTGTGGCGCCAATCCCGGCACCTCCACACCCTGTGGGATGCACTACCACAGAGCACTTCCCCGAAATGAGCCCCTCTCTGGCCCCAGCAGATCCGCCCAGACCACAGAGCACAGGGTTCCCTAGGGCCCCCTCCCCAGCTGGAGGCCCAGGGAGCAGCCCTCTGAATGCCAGGCTCCCATGGAAGGTGGCTGCTGGGAGGAAGGGAAGGGAAAGAAGAGGAAGGGGGAGGCGGAGACTGAAGCGTCAATGCTCTTCCCCTCCCTCCATTCCACCCACAACCCCCCTGGTTCGGTTTCCATCCTCCTTTTTGTTTTCCATTGCAGCCGAGGAGAAGGCCTCCAAGGCTGCCAGCTTTACCCCGCTGCCCTTGGACTGCAGAAGGAGCCCTGGAGACGGGCCCTCTAACTTGCAAGGTTCTCCTGGCCCCTGCCTGGCCAGTCTGCGTGTCCCTCTTTCCCCGGGACTCCCTGACTCCATGGAGTTGGCCAAGAATAAGAGCAAGAAGCGCCGCAACCGCACCACCTTCAGCACGTTCCAGTTGGAGGAACTGGAGAAAGTCTTCCAGAAAACCCACTACCCTGACGTGTACGCCCGGGAGCAGCTGGCTCTGCGCACGGACCTGACTGAGGCCAGGGTGCAGGTGAGGGTACTAGAGGCACCAGGCTCTCTGGCTGTCTCAGCCACTCAGCCCGTGGGCCACACTGTGAAGGGCTGGAAGGGCCCTTCCCCGCATCCTGCCTAAGTCTGGGCCTTGGAGTTTATTCCACATGTCCCACCCAGGTTGAGGCTTATGCCTGTGTGGATGGGTAATGGCATCGTGGAGTCAAAAGACCTATTCGGGAGTTCGAGGTGTGCCCCACTCACCAGCTAGTCAAGTGCTTTGTGTCTTGTCACTGAATCTCAGCATCTTAGGCAGCACCTCGAAAGCAGTGAAGCTCAAATACACATGAGGGCTGCTCCTAGCTGTCCAGAATGGGACAGTGCCTGTTCGGCGTGTCAGAGTCACTGTGAGCCCATGACATGCAGCCTCTGCCAGCTCTCTGTCTCTAGCTAGGAGAACCCGATGGGGAGCTACTCTGCACCCCAGCAGATTCTCCTGCACAGAGACCAGACCCTGGGGATGGTCTGGCGCCAGCCTCACATAGGCCGGGGGCCAGTTTGTGGCGAGTGGTGGGAGGTAGTCTCTGGAAAGGAGGAAGTCTGTCAGAGAACATGTAAGTGCCAAGCAGGGCTGGGGCTTGGGAAAGAGGTTCAGTGTAAGTGTGGCCCGGATGAAGGTTGTTTGTGGCCTTGCCTTGAAGAGGCTGACACAGGGCAGCTCTCTGACACCAACAGAAGGTGCTGGGAGAAGGCTTGGGCTTCTAGGGAATGGTGAGAAGGTGACTTAACAGGGGCCGGGGGCATGCCGAGCACATCTTGCATAGGGTCCTTCCAGAGATTCTTTGAAGGTGCTGGGGCAGAGACCAGCTCTGGGCCACATGGGACTTGGCGGGCAAGTCTGCAGAGACAGCTGTCATGGAGCAAGAGAAGGCCTGGCAGCCAGACTCAGCTCAATGCAGGGCCATGAGAAGCTTCCCCATGGACGGAGCCCCTGGAGGAGAGGTGTTTTCTTTGATAGCAGAATGATACCTACCCAGAGCCCCACCCCATGGATAGGAATAATAGAACCACACATGGGACAATGTGTGTATGGGGCAGTTCCAGCCCAAGCAGTGGGTAATTCCAAGGGACATGCTGGTGAAAGGGAAGTAACTCCCAGCTAAGGTATCAGATTGGTGGGGCTTCCTTCATCTGCAAAGGAGGGAGTACAGAGAAAGAAAATCTGGAAAGCTGAGCAGACAGGGTGGCCTTCCTGACTGGATCTGCTCTGACATCCCTGAAACCTGGAATGAGGGGCGAGGCGTGTGCACAGCCTCTTAATTGCCAGGGCTGTATCTGCCTGCTTGAGTAGCAATGACTGTGGGGAGGGCAGAAAGGGGGGGGGGATTCTCATCTCATCGGAGCTGGATTAAACGCTCGCACACGCATATACACACACACAGCTTCTCCTGTTGTGATTCCTGGCTAGATTCCTGGAAAGCAGCATTGCATTTGCTTTTATGCTGATATTATCAACATCTAGCCCAGACCTTGACCTACAAACATTAAATGATACACGTAAAAGAAAAAAATGTAACACCAGCCAGGGATATGGCTCAGCGGTGCAGCACTGCCTGGCAAGTGTGAGGTCCTGAGTTCGATTCCTGGTACCAAAAATAATGTAGACACCAATACACATAATCGCATAGGGCATATACCAAACAACCTGTTCATCACAGATAAGAATACAATATGCACAACACACAGATGTGCCACCCCCATTCGGCGGGAGCCAACAAATGAACAGGAGCCGTTCCCAAACATCCTGGGGAGGCATTGGTGAGAGGGCCAGGATGTTACAGATGTCTGGCGAAGGTACCCAGTCTGGGTGTGTGGCAGGCAAAACCTAAACAAAGGCGGGAAGGAGCAAACTCGAGGGCAATCTTCAAGGACAAGGGTGGTGGGAGTTTGGGAGGGAACTTGGAACAACCGAGGACTGTTGCCTGGAAGGACACGGGCTGTGAAGGGGCAGAGGCCAATCCCAAGGGGCCTTATTAAGAGCTAGGCTCTAGGCCAAGGCCTCTAGGGAGCTACTGAGGGTATAAAAGGGACCATGACCTGAACAGAATGTCTTTATGATGCCTTGGATGATGCGAGGTGGGCAGACTGGAAAAGGAGAAGCAGCAATGAGGCCAGAAGCCCTGTAACCAAGGTGCTGGGCCCCCTAGGAAGGGCGCTGGGCCTCCTAGGAAGTGCTCTGGGCATCTGATGTCCACAGCCCTCCCACCTCCCCAGCCAGACACACCAGGCTGGAGAAACCGAGTGACCAACTCAGCCTGGAGAATGGTAGCTGGGGCCCCTGGGACCAGTAAACATGGTTTGGACTTGGGCCTCTCCCAGCTCCCCTGGCCCTGAGAACAATGTGGGTTTATAAGCCCCAGCAGCTCAGAATCCTCTGGCCTAGGGCCAGCTGCCAGTCCATGGGAGGTCATAATTGTGAGCGCTCTCCCCAGCGGGTTCCACTCCTCAAGGTGCTCCAGTGCCCCTCACCACCCACCCACCCACCCCACCCCCGCCCCAACACTCCTCCTCAGGTCTGGTTCCAGAATCGCAGAGCCAAGTGGCGGAAGCGAGAGCGTTATGGAAAGATGCAGGAGGGGCGGAACCCCTTCACGGCTGCCTATGACATCTCTGTGCTGCCCCGCCCTGACAGCCATCCCCAGGTGAGACCCCAGACCCACCCTGTGGGATATGGCCATGTCCCATGGAATCCCCAACAAGCGGCATCGGCTGGGGAGACCTGAGTAAATCGCTGAACCTCTTCCTCCACAAACTGGGGCTCTTTCCTGCCTCAGGAGTGATGCACTTGGAGTGCCAAGGAATCACAGGAGAAAGTTTGGCAGTGGCACGGGCCTCCTGGGTTCCAAGAGAAAGTCTGGGGTCTTGTGGGCGAAGAGAGAGTGAGCTTCTAGATAAGACTATGGTTCCCGGGGCTGCGAGCTCATGGGCTTTCTCTCTCCCTCTCATTTCAGCTGCAGAACTCCCTGTGGCCCAACCCAGGATCTGGGAGCCCAGGGGCCCCCTGCCTCGTGTCTCCAGAGGGCATCCCCTCCCCATGCATGTCTCCGTATTCCCACTCCCATGGGAATGTGGCTGGCTTCATGGGGGTGCCACCATCCCCAGCAGCCCACCCTGGCATCTACTCAATCCACGGCTTTCCCCCAACCTTGGGAGGCCACAGCATCGAGCCCTCCCCAGATGGCGACTACAAGTCCCCAAGCCTTGTCTCACTCAGGGTGAAGCCCAAGGAGCCGCCCAGCCTGCTGAACTGGACCACGTGATAAGCTGCAGAGCCGCGCAGACTAAACTGCCACCTCCTTTTCTGTTCCCAGTTGCTTCAGGTCCAGGCTCCAAGCCCAGATGGTGCTGGAGGCCTGGGAGAACAGCTGGGACCCTCCGCACCCAGCAGAAAATAGTCTACAGGGTCTTTTTTATTATTTTAATAAAAAAGTAGGGCTGCCTTGAATAAAGGGGGTTTAAAAGTGGGCAGGACTTCTGCCACAACTGGGTCCCTCAAACTGGGATCCAAGGAGGGATCTGCTTCCTCAAGACTTTGTCTAAGTCTGCCTGTCATCTCTCTAGCTGAGAGAGCTGAACTGCTGCTCATTCAGGCAGTCCGGGAAGATGCTAGGAGGACCCAGATTAAACTGGGAGAAGCTCTTCAGGACGGGGAAAGCCAGACTTCTTAGACCACCTAGAAGACCTTGCATCTCCTCCCCGCCGCCAGGGGGCGTGTGCCGAGTCTGGTGCGGAAGGTGAAGGCTGGCTCAGAGGGTGCCCTCTGCCCTCGCCGTCCCTTCCAGCAGCCTGGGCTGGATCTCCCAACGTGCTTCTCTGAGTTTGCAGGAATTCCATCCGTAACCACCAAATATTTGGATTCACTTCAGTGAGATCAGGCCAGGGCTATGCTGTGGAAGCCATAACTGAATCTTGGGTCCCTGAGATCCCAACCCCAATTTTTGTAAAGATACTTTTGTTAAAGTGCTGCCCAGCATAGTAATAAAAGCGGTGTTTTTCATACCAGAGGACTGTCTATCCCCAAGACTTCGGTACCTGGTTACTTTAAGGGTACTCTGTGCCTAGGGCCAGGCTGGCAAAGCCCTCCAGGGGCCAGCAAGGGTCCCAGAGTCCAGGGCAATGGTTGTACACCTACGGTACGCATGCCACAGAGGGCTGTTTGCATCACTGAAAGCTCTGAAAGGTTTGCCATTACCGGTCTTGGGGAAGGTGGCCTGCCCCAAAGCCTTCATGGCCAATGCGCGTCATCCCTATCCTGTCACCTGCCCAGGGTCTGGGACTTCCGCTGATGCTGAGGCAAGGAAGAGCGCCCAGTCTAGGGCTGGGTTCATCTGGCAGGGAGATCTGGGGTGGGGATGGGAGCAAAGAGGCTGAACTAAGCCTATGTCTGTGCTGATAGGAGAGCAGAAGCAGAAGGTGCCCACTAGGGCCCTGAGCTCCCGAGCCGAGCTGGGACCCCGTGGGCTGGGGGCGGGGCAGTCACTTCCCCCAGATGCCCCAGGAGCACGTCTGAGCTGTGGGGCAGAGACAAAAACCAGAACTCTTTCTTGTGGTTTCAGAGTATTACCCATTCTATCCTTCATCCCCACTTTCTGCCTTATCTCTGGAGCCTGGAAGGCAGAAAAAAGCAGGCCTGGCTCTCCCACCCTCCCAGTAAACACAACCACATTGCTTGCAAGAATTCCGTCAGCTCCCGCTCAGCCACCCCCACCCCATGCCTCATCTTTCAGGCAGAGAAACCCAAGCACACAAAGACTCATTGCTACCATGCTTATTCCCAAGCAGGGAGCAAGTCCTCAATTGGATCAGATTTCCCAACCAAGACGGTCACAGCAGGGTGGCCACACATCCCCAGAGGCGCCAGCTCCTGCCCTCTTTTCCCTAGCTTTTGGCGGTGACTTTCTTCTCTGTCCTGACAGATGTGGGGGTGGACCAGGGGCATCAGGAAGGGCAGAGTAAGGCAAGAAGGAAAGTGTCCCCTAGCGACGGGCTGATGGATGGATGAGCCTCGCATGTCTTCACACACTGGTCAGTAATGCAGCGAATGTCCCCACTTCGAACTCTAGGGCTCAACCACTGTACTAGAAGCTTCGATACCCATAGAGTAGTCAGCAAAGTTGGGGGCCTTCTGTCCTGTGAAGTTCAGAGAGCTGCAGAGCAAGGTTTCTTCTACAAACATTTGTTGCACGCCCACTCAGTGCCAGGTACTGCTCTGTGCCAGAGATGGAGTGGCCAGAGATGAAGCGGCATGCAAGAAAACCGACCAATTCCTCCCTTCTCAGCTTAGAATGAGAAAGATGGGGGAAGGAAGAGAAAAGGATATGTCAAGCCCGAGCAAAAGAAGCCAGAAAGGTGCAAATCAGCAGAAATAAAGTTGAGCATGTGATCAAGGCAGTGAGCGTGGTAGAGGCAGGCAGAAGTCATGGGCAGAGTCGGGGAGAGGGACCAGACTGGGGGAACTGCAGCAGGGAGGGCATAGGGAGGCCAGTGACTGGCTACTGGCTCCCGTCCAGGGGCATCCACCCACAGCTCATATTTTTCTGTCCAGTGACAGCTAAATGAAGAGAGAGCTAACTTTACAACCACCCACTTCACACATAATGAATATGAATGGGTAACCCTGAGCCTGCTCCATGGGACGGTCCTGGGCTGACAGGTCCTCCCACTGACGGGCCATCCCAGCCAGCCTGTCCCCAGGCTGGGGTATCAACAGCCCTTCCACCTGCTTCCCATTACCATGCTGCCCTCCTCCTCTACACCCATAGGACACAGCCCCCATTTCCAAATGCCTCTGCCCCCATTCGCAGAGGTGAACTGAGGCCTCAGCCCAGGCCCTATAACTTTTCTAGGGCCTGGCTGGACTCCACTCAGTCCCAGGACAACACAGAGGACGTGGCCTCACTGGGATTCCCAACGTGATGAAGGCTGCTGGGCTGTCTACCCATCACCAACACTCTTCTCTGCTCCTGTGAGGCACCTAAAGATTCAAGCCCTAAAACTTGACGCTGGCAGTTGGTCCGGTAGGCCTGAAAGGCCCTAGCCAGGGGTACTGTGAGTCCAGGCTTCCTGCCTCAGTCAAGCAGGGGAAATGCTTCTCATTAGAGGCATTCAATGCTCCTTCCCCTCCTCCTCCAGGCACTTACACATCAACCTGAATTATAACCCCAAAGTGTAGACCCTCATTAACCTAGACAGGAACAGAGCCTAGCACACCCAGGAGCCAGGCAGCTGCTTACTTCCCCATTGCAGCTGACAGAAAACTTTACCCTGCCTGGTCCTTTGTACCTGGAGAACACAAGCATCCGCCCCCAGAGTCCTGTTGCTGAGCTCTCTTCCTACCCAAAGACTGTGGGCCCCCATCCCAGTCCGTCCTCTGGGAGGGGGACATCACCGGATCACAGGAACCTGGAGCTATCCATCTCTGAACCCTGAAGGATGTGAGAAGCTTATGTCCCCATCCCCTGGAGATCAGGGCAGGAAGCTGGCCCCGGCCCCGCCTAGAGTGAGCTTTAGGGGTGTGTGGCAGAGTGGCCAGCTCTTCTCTGAGGCCTCTGAATTCAGAGGATTGCACTAGGACAGGGAACTTCGAGACCCAAGAATTCTGGTCCCCAAAGACCTGTTTTCTAGGAGACACAGAAAATGGGCAGATTGGGAAGGAATGTCAGCAATGCTAACCATTTCTACCTCCTGTCATTGTGCCTTGTGAGCCAGAGACGAGTTCATTACCCTGGATCTTGTTCCGCCTTGGAAATAGGGCTCTAAAGAAGCAGTGTGTAGCTAACAGAGCTTCAGCACCTGATTAGCTCCCTCACTGAGTAAATGTCAGTCTGGACGAAAAGTCAGCAGGGCTCACTGCTGAGGGGAGCTAAGCTGTGGCTCTAAGTGGCCTGAGGCACACTGTGCCAAGCACCAGCGATCGCATCTCTGATTGTCCATTTCACTAGAGGACAGACAGGAAGCCAGCCTCTAGGGAGGTGAGCCCAATAGGTATGACAGGGACAGCTGATGCAGTTCACTGGGACCAGGAGAGAAAGAAAAGGAGACTCAGGATAAAAAGGGGAGGAACAGCAGGTCCTTGAGGGTATATATTCGGGACCAACCAGCAACTAGGCCAAGGCCATGGCCAAGCCTCGGCAGTCCAGCCGAGGCCTAAAGCAGGGGCACTGGCCCTGAATCTGCTGTGCCAGGGACCACACCAGAGCAAGTATAAGATGAACAAATCAGTAGAAGAATACACACGAAAGATGCTGGGGAATGCTGCTTAATACTTTGAGTACATGTATGCAGCAGGGATATGGGTTTGAATTCTGGCTCCAGCGGCACCCCCCACCTTTTTTTTTTTTTGCACAACTGGGGATTGAACTCAGGCCCTTGCGCTTGCCAGGCAAGTGCTTATTCTACTGAGCTATCTCCCTGGCTCCTCCAGCCCCTTTTTGTATAACCTTAGCCAAGTTCTTTTCCTTTTCTACACTATAATTTTCTTATATAGTGATTTATTTTTTATTTTTTATTTTTTGGTACTGGATATTGACCTTAGGACTTTGTGTTTGCCATGCATGTGCTTATGTCACTGAGCTATCTCCCTGGTCCTTTATAGGGATTTATATAGGGATCGAAATGGTATTTACAGGGCTGGGGAAATAGCTCAGTAGATTAAGTGCTTGCTGGCAAGCATGAGGTCCTGACTTCAATCCCCAGTACTGGAAAAAAAGAAAGAAAGAAATGGTATTTACTTGGGTTTTTTTTTTTTTTTTAAAGAAAATAAAACAGTAAATAAATAAATAACCCATTAGAAGTGATATGGAAGCCAGCCAGGGGGAGATAGCTCAGTAGAATAAGTACCTGCCTGGCAAGCACAGGGTCCTGAGTTCAATCCCCGGTACCACTAAATAAATAAATAAATAAATAAGCAAAAAAATAAAATACATAATCAGCACCAGTAAGGAATTAAAAAGCTGGAGTTTAATATGTTAAAAAAAAAAAAAAAGAAGAAGTGATAGAGAAGGTCGGGCTGGCCAAATAGCTCAGTGGATTAAAGCACCTGCTTAGGCAGACACAGACGCAGATGCAGGGGCAGATGCAGGGGGTCGATCTCCAGCCTGCCGCGCCGGCCCTGCCCCCAGGGTGCGCTGAGACGGTAAAAGACTGGGCGTGGTGATGCCCACCTGTAATCCCAGCGGTTGGGAGGCTGAAAACAGGAGGATCACTACCAGTCCGAGCTATGTAATGAGACCCTGTACTAAATATAGACACACAAAAAAAGCAACATGGAATTTCACTAAACAAAATGATAGGAATTCAACCATGGTTGTTATATTGCATATTGCCATCTTCAATACAGTTGTTCAGATCACCAGATAGAAGCATGCAAAATTTGTAAAACAAAACAAAACAAAAAAACAATTTAGCCTGGCAAGCACAAGGGCCTGAGTTCAATGCCCAGTTCTGAAAAAAAAAAAAAAAAAAATTATTCTACATAAAGTACTTACAGCAATAGTTGGCAACAGTAAGCGCTCAACACTGCTGACTACTACATAGGACATGCGCCTTCAGGAAGCACCTGACATTCTACCTCATTACCCCAGATGAATGCAGGGTGATTCCTGTCCTCCAGGCGACACAAGCCTCAGGGTAATCCATGCCTCAGTGGGTAAAATGACAATAATCCAGAGCCAGGTTAGCAGTAACAGCTAACAGTGCGTAACCCAGCCATTCACAGAAGGCCTCCGTGGACCCTGCCCTTCCCAGAAGACATTTCTTTCATAGATATTTCTGTGTAAAGACCTGGGTGGAGATGGCTCCCGGGCCACTAACACATTTTGAGGCCGTACGTCTTCGCTCCCAGGCCATCTCCTGGGCCCACAGTTCCAGGACTCTTCAGGCCAGGTTTGATGGCCTGTGTTCTTTTCTATAGTTCAGAAATGATGTGAGGGAAGTGAAGAGATAGAAGGGGACTGAAACCTCAGGCCAGGCCATTTTAGCAACCTGGATGCATGCGGCAATAAGAAGGTGAAAATCTACCTTCCCTAAATGAAAACATCAAGATACACACTTCTTGTCAGTGCTGGCGAGAAAAAACAGAAACACTATCATACATACCCAGACTGTGTCAAACTTGGCCTGCGCAAGTCGCTTTGGGGAAAAGAGCTGACTGCAGGGGGCGGCTCTGTGACACTTCCACATGGCCGCTCCTGACCATGTTGGCATCCAGGTCCGTCCTGACATAGCGGGTCCCAGGCAAGCACTGAACCAATAAAGGGGCTTTCTCCCAAGAATGTCTCCCTTGTCAGACAAGACCCCGTTGAAGATTTAAGACTTTATACTTTACCTATATAAGATAAGGAACCTTCCAGCAATTCTGAAAAGTGAATACTCCTTTAGCAGCACCGAAGTGGTAAGACCCTCTGAGGTCGAGTCTGAAGGCGGGGAGTCTTGAGATAGAGGCAGCCGTGAGCAGAACCTGAGGGTGAGCAGTCTCCAGCTTTGCACGCACACCTACCAACCTCAGAGGCTCTGCTTGCTTCTCCCCCGGCCCTGGGAGCCAGGGCTCTCCAACACATCCCAGCACGGAGGGGACTCCTGATCGGCTGTCGCCCGGCTCACGCACAAGGCCACCTGCCCCGGTGAGGACCTGAGCGCCACTCTGACCTCACACTAAAGCAGGCCTGGTTGAGGCCAGCCCAGGGCAGGACTCCAAGGAAGCCGGGGCTCCTCCCAGAACTGCATCCAGCCGGGGAGGTGGACCCTTATCACTCCAGCAACGCGGAGCACTGGAGCCGGGCTGAAGGATGCCCAAGGAAGTGGGGAGAGGACCCTTTGGACAGGCGTCAACATTTCCACTTCTCCCCCCAAGACTTGCAGAAGACAAGTTGTCAACCTATCAACGCTGGTGGGAAAACCAACTTCTGAGAACTAGAGATTCTAAGTCCATAAAGTCCATATTTCCTGAAGGCAAGGGAAACAGGGATTGTTTTTGCTCCCTTTTAATGTAAACAGAATACACAAACACATAAAAATCCCAACAAGACACAAACGACCACATACAGATTAATGTAGAGCTATTTACAGGCCCCTGCAAACCCAAAGGACACTGGCACCCCTGCTTAAGGGAAGCCTCGCTCCCTGTTCCGACCTCTTCCAAAGCCAAAGAGCTGCTGCTGCAGCAGCCATTACGGCTGCTTCTGGATGAAATTCAGCAGGGGGCTGGAACGGTTCAGAAACCCCCAAAGTACAACCAAGACGCCAGCTTGCCAGTCGCGGCGCTAACCCTAGGTCCTCTGTCTTGGCCCGCTGACGTGCCAGCGCTGTGCAACCCCGAAGTCGGCGTGAAGCTGAAATGCAGATGTGCGAGAAGGAACACCCTGCTCGGCCCAGCTTTTCCCAGCCCCGGACTGACTGAGGTGAGCTGCAACCCGCCACATCCACCGCGGGAGGACGACGTTTGGGAGGAGTGGAGAAGAGTGGATCCCGAGCAGAGGACGACTGCTCCGGGGTCGCACGTGGAGCGGAACCAGAGGCCAGCCAACAAGGGCTCACCCGCGGACCGCGGGCTGTGGAGGACACCGCGGGGCCGTGCTGCCACCTGGAGGAGTACGGGAGCACTGCAGCAACCTCCGGGCAGTCCCTCCGGCAGGAGATCGCCCCTTCTTGCCATCTGTTTCGTGCCTACTAGCCTCACTGCAGCAGCTCTTCCCAGGAAATGGGCTTAGAGAAGACCTCTCTTTCTAACCAGAGGTCGTAGTTCATCTGGAAGTCCTCAGGAAGATCGACCCTTTGGCCGAGGACACTCTGCAAGCAGTTGTCCACCGGCAGGAAGTCAGGGTTGCTGTGGGCCTGGTCGTAGCGCCGGGCATTGAAGCGCTCGATGCTGGCGCGGAGGGCACATTCCTCTGCCTGGAAGTCCCAAGGCCGGGCATCAAGATCTGTGACAAAGCAGAAAGAAACAGTTGAGAACCCAGCCTAAGGGCAGTGAGCCTTGGGCCCAGGGCATTCAGACGTGGTTGGGACAAAGAGAAGAGGGGCAGTCTTGGACAATTTCTACAAAAGGACGGCATCGGAGGATGGGACTGAGAGGAGAGGGGATGACCCCAGGCGCCGAAGCTGGGCAGCTCCCGCGTCCTTCCTAGAGTCCCGTCCTGGGCGCTGAGGCCACAGAAGCCCGAGCCGGGCACTCTCCCCCAGGCACCTGGTGGGCGACCTCACCGTTGCCATATGCCCAGTCGTCGTTCAGCCGATGCCGCACTTTCTGGTAGATGGCAGACATGGTCTTCATGTTGCTCTTGCGCCACTGCCGCCCCAAGTACTTGGTCTGCACCTTGAGCAGCTTCAGCACGTACAGCTGCATCGTGGCTTGCTTCACCTTGAGCGCCCGCTTCAAGATGGGTGCTGACTTGAACACCACGAGCATCTAGCAAGGCAGAGCCCGGGGAGGCCGGGAGGAGGACGCCTTGAGCGGCCAGGACTGAGGGCTGGGAGAGAGGCTGTCCCCACTTGGTGCTCCCCTTGCTCTCCGGGCCTACAGACGTGGGGTTTCATGTGCTGCAAGAGCAAAGTCTCGGCAAATCAGGAGAGCTAGCCACTCTCCAGAATCTAAAGGTTCCTTGGATTCAAGAGAAAGCTATGCATTCCTTCAACAGAACATTCTCATGGTATTTCACAGAATTCAGGGCCCTTCCCACTCCAAAGACAAGGGTTGACAAAAGCTCCCAGGACCTTGGTTATATTACCAATTGAGGTTAAGAAGCTACAGGAAAGTTTGTCTGCGAGAGTGATTTGTTTTAATGCACAACTAACCCTTTTTGCTTTCGTTCAACTCATCAAGGAATCAGTTCTTATTTAATTTATGGTGCTGGGACGCGCACTCACAACCTGGTGCTTGCCAGGCAGGCCCTGTGCCACTGAGCTATATCCCCAGCCCAGCAGCCAGCTCTTGCAATGCAAGGATTATAGCAAGTCTTAAGTAAGAAAGACAGCTGCAGCAGCAGCCCCCACCCGCAGGGCTCGCTCTCCTGGAGTAGAGGGGCAGGTGCAGGTATGGGGTGCTGAACTCTTCTCTGAGCGACCAGTTTTAGCCCTGCCCATGGCACTGACTCACCATTGTCCTGGAATGCTTCCATTTTGTCAACTTGTTCAAGATCCGAAGCAGATTGATACAAGAGAAGAGGTTCCTCCAACAAAACTGGTTGTTGTCACCTGCTTCCTGCCAGGTAAAGCCAGAAATAATCGTAACCCTCACTGGTGCAGGCTGCTCAGCAGTTTCCAAAAAGCCTACAGCACATTTCAGGACAGCCGGGTCCCCATGGATCTACTAGGAGCCCCTCCTTTCAGGGAAAACTCTATCCTAGAAGTAGGCAGGGGGACTAGAGGAGGCAGGTAGTTCAGGAAACATGGGTCCTAAAACTGGGGGCTGTGGCCCTCGCATCCTGTGTGGGAAAAGGAAAGCACTCCTCAGGCAAGCTGAGGGTCAGCAATGTGCAGGACCACGCTTCCAGCTACCTCCACGTGCTCTCCAGGCTCCTCCCCTGCCCCTCCGCGCACCTCTGCTGCACCTCTGCACAAGCCCCGTCTGTCCCTAAAGAGGCGAGCATCACGCACAGGGACAGCCAAGAGCCCATCCACTCACCAGACTCTCCGCAGTCAGCTCTGGCAGCTCATTGACCACGCAGTGCGGATAATCCAGAACAGAGATGCTAAAGAACAAGGGAAGCAGGGCCCACTGAGAGCAGACGCCTGGGCCTGACGCAGCGTTCACACGGAGCTGGCTCAGGCTCTCTCCCATCGTGCACTGGTGCACACAGGAACCTACCGCTTGCCCCATCTAGGAGTATCTACTAGTGAGAACATACATAGCCCCTCTGTGACTGGAATACTCTGTAAGGGCTGGAGACCCTACTGTGCTTGTCCCCATAAATCTGGGGCTGAGGTAGGTGGTGGCTCATGGCAGCTAATTTATGCTAAACCCTACTTGAGTTGGTGCCTGGCTGGCAGCTCATCCCACGGTGTCTCACTCGAATGAGCAGACACTGTCAAGTGCAGCTGGCGACAGGCAGGTGTGAGTGTGTGTGTGAGTCAGCAGATCAGGCTATGCAGTACACATGCCAGCACTCCAGGATGCTGAAACAGCAGTTCCTGGTCACACTGACCTACTCAATGAGACTCTACTGAAATAAAATAATAATAATAAGAGCTAGAAATGTAGCTCTGCTCTTCCCAGGTTCAATCCCAGGACCAAATAAAACACAACAAGCAAGAAACTGGAGCCTCCAGACTAGATGAGAATCCCTGCCCTGCCACAGACTGAGCTACCTGTCCCAGTCTCACTGGAGTCAAGATCTGACACAAGGCTCTTCCTCAGGCAGGAACCCTGTCTAATTTGTCATGGAGTCCCTAGTGCTGGCTCACAGCTGGAAGAATGTTTACTGAATGGACAACGGGGAGAAGCTGGGAGCTGTGCCACCTGGCCAAACCACCCCTCCTGGTACTTAGTCCCCAGCACCTGTTCTTGGCGGTGATATAGGACATGATGTTTTGATTGAAGAACTTTAGGATCAAAGGGATGCAGTTGGCAAACACCAGGTGCTGAGCCATGTACTCAAACTGAAACCAAAAGGGAAAAAAACAAAAAACGACACTCGTTGAGCCCTTACCCACTTTCTTCCAGGGCTTAGGAACAGAGTGTACGTGGGCTCAACGGCCGGGGCCCTGCTCGTCTGGGCTGACTGATGTAGCTCACGAGGCTTAGGCACAGCAGACAGGAAGGAGAAGCTGTAGGTACCTGGTAGATGTGGTTCAACTTAAAGTGCTTCAGCAGCAGCAGCAGCACCGCAGAGATGGCCTTAACAATGACCTCCTTGTGGCGGTTCACATCCACTCCCAACTTCATGCTCTGCAACACTGTGGTGCTGGAAACAGGCGCATGCATGAGCTGCTAGCTCACGGGGCACCTTCTTCTGGGTGCCCGTACAGAGAGGAGCTCGGCACCCTCCATGCAACGGTCCTGACACCTGGACATCTGAAGAGGTCCCGGCCAGGGTTCCTCCACCCACCTCCTAGGCCAGCAGGGGCAAACCTGCGGCATGAGTGTTGTTTCTTCTTTTAAGACAAAGACATTAATGTATGATTGCTGGGTATTTTTTTTCTGAACTAAAACCATAGTGCTGAGATTATATGCAGCGCTGGCACTCTATGGCGAGTAAGCGGGTATGGGGCTCCCCGTGGCGTCCTAGCAATCAGGCTTAGGGCAAGTTACTTCTTCTTCATGGTGACCCCGAGTGCATACTTAACCTATTTCTCTATTTTCCTACAAAAATTAACTTCTCCTCTGCAGGGTCTCCCCTAAGCTTTGGTCATATTAACTTGAGTTTCCCAGTGGAAATACGGGACCGTACATGGAACGTTTTGTGTTCCTGGGAAAAAAGGTTTGGAAGTCCGATAAAGGAAACAAGTTGTATCAGTTTCTTTTTTTTTTTAAACATTTATTTTGTGTGTGTGTGTGTGTGTGTGTGTGTGTGTGTGTGTGTGTGTGGCCAGCTCAGCCCACCTGGGGGCGGGGCTGGCTGGCATGTGGTCATGTGGTGCTGGGGATTGAACTGCGGTCCCTGTGCTTTGTTTAGCTTAGCTTGTTCTAAGTAGGTGCTTTAGACCACTGAACCATCTCACCAGCCCCTTGTATCAGTTTCTTAGTGCAGGATTTTTAACTGGAAACCTATATTAAAAAATGGCAACACCCAGCACGGAGCATTTTTTCATAGGATAACCAAGGTCTAGTGTTCAGAGATCCTCTCACCAGCCCCCCTCCACCCTTCCTTAGCCATCACTGTCCGACTCCAGGGTCACGGCCAGAGCTAGCCAGTGCTGGCAGCAGGCAGGAGATCAGGTAGAGGCCCGGGTTTTTACTCTCAAATCAAAGAGATGAGGTCAGTCCTGGGAGGAAGGGCTCCGAGGACTTCCTCTAGTCCCAGGTATTTGCAGGATTTGGCCTGCTGGGTCATGGGGCAATAGTGAGACTCCATGGCAGTGCGGGGTCAACTGCGATTGGGAAGTTGTGCACCAACTACCCTGACCACCTTGGGTGTCCCAATCCCATGACTTGAGAAGACTCTGGAAAATGTCTAATGCCACATTTGTTTTACAAAGGAGAAATGAACTCCCCTAGGGGCTGGGGAGATGGCTCAGTGGAATAAGCGCTTCCCTGGCAAGCGCAAAGCCCTGAGTTCAATCTCCGGTTCCGCCACAGGAAAAAAAAAAAAAAAAAGAACGCAAAGAACTCTCCAATTCACTGAGGAACTCATTCAGAGCCAACTGGACTATATCAATCACTTTAACCAGCGCAACTACTGACTTTAGTAGGCCTCCTGCTTCCAATTAGAAATACCTTAAACTTAACCTGCAGAGAAGTTGGCAAACAAGAGAAGCGAGTATCTGCCCTTTCCCTCTGCCCCAATCTGCTGCATCCACAGGATACTCACGGCATCTCTTCCGGGAGGACGTCCGCTAGGATATTGATTGAGTCTGTTTTGGCTTTTGAGGTGGGGGCTGCAGCCAGCAGGATCTTCAGGAGGGCAATCTGGGAAAAGCAGACCGCACAAACATGCATAGGAGAGCCCAGGACCAAGAGAGCCCTGAGAAGCAGGACTCTGGTAGTTCCTCAGGTGACAAAAGAATCATTCATCGTGGAGACTGACCAGCATCCGGGAATGTGCCCACTGTCTTGGCCACCGAGAGGGGTCTTAGACCCAGAGCACTCACCATGTACTGAGGCAGGCTGGGAAGCAGGCCTTGGTAGAGGGTTTCTGCAGGGACCTGCTCAACTTCCTCTTCTCCCTTTGAACACAATGGGTGTAAACACAGAACCCCAACCCAGGCTGCAGTTCCTGAGCCAGTTTGCTGGCTGGCTGCAAGAGAATTCGTGTCTATGTAAAGAATGAAGTTGGTGACAATGACAGCACACTGGACATGTTCAATGTGCCAGATGTGTTACTTGTAATAACTCCCTTAATCCTTATTCTAACCCAAAAGAAGGTTCTATTATTACTTCCACTACACGCCAAAAAAACAGCACTGAAAGGTCTAGTTAGTGCCCTAGCTGCTGAGCCTGACTGCTGGGCTGGGATTCAGACGTAACAGGCTGGGAGGGCTCTGAGGCAGGTTCTGGGGTGACAGGGCATTCCACAGAGTAAAGGCCCCCAACTCACACCCGAGAGCGGAGAGCGAAGGTACTCCTCCTCCATCTGCGCCTGGACCTCCGCAATTGATGTGTACTTGTGCTGGAGAGAGATGGGAAAGACGGTGCGGCAGAGACACCTGCATCCCCTGACTGCTTCGCACCCTGGCGAAGACCTGCTCACTTTCCTCTACAGTGTTCTCAAACAGGACCAAGTCACCACAACAATCCCCAACTAAAATCCTAAGCCCCAAATAGTTTTCTAAGTGGGAGCCTGTATCTTTGGACCATGTTAAAAAGCCAGCAATGCAGCTCATGTGCCTGCTCCTCTACCCGAACTGTCCTCAATGCGTGCCAAGGAAAAGCGAGGGCTATTTACCGCGCCCCTTCATTCACCAGTGGCTGGCAGGTTACGTGACCTGAATGAATCTCAGCCAGTACCCACGGAAGCAGCTCTCTGCCCAGGCCTGGCTAGCAGGCAGGCCCCACGGGATTCTCCCTCAGGCTCGCTTTCTTCACTTGGGACCAGAGAGGCCAAAAGCTCACCCAGAGCACTTACCTGCTTCAGAGTCTTGATGCTTTCGTGGATTGGCCTGGGCAGCCCGACCACGGTGTTAGTGTCACTGAAGAATAAAGGAAGCCTTGTGGGAGCCCCGGCAGGGTGAGCCAGGGCCTCGCACAGCAAGGGCCAGGACGGAGAGCTTCCAGAGGGACCGAGATCACACTCACCTGCCCAGAGTGTAACCTATGAACTTGCTGCGGCTGGACTCGAGGAACATCTCGATGTCCTTCTCCCTGCAGAGGGAAGCAGGGGCACAGCTGCATCACGCGCTACTTCACTTAATGCTGCGTCTCAGTTAATCAAAATGCAGACCATCCAGGAAGGGAAGGAAGTCTCCCATAATTGTTTTTCTTTTTCCAAAAGTGGAAAAGAAAAACCTCTAAATTTCTCTGATGATCTTACTGGATTTATTTATTTATAAGTTCTTTTTTTTTTTTTTTTGGTGGAATCAGGGATTAAACTCAGGCCCTTGTGCTTGCCAGGGAAGCACTTATTTCACTGAGCCATCTCCCTGGCCCACTTTATTTATTTACTTTTTTTTAAGTTCTTTATTTTACTGGATCATAACCTGAAATTCCAGGGGATGGGGATGGCACATGCCTGTAAGCTCAGCATCAGGAGGCTGAAGCAGGAGGATCACGGTTTTGAGGCCAGTGTACACTACACAGTAAGACCTTGTTTCAAAATAAATAACCTGAAAATATATTATGTGTAAATAGTTTACTCAAATAATTAAGGTGACATATCATACCTAACAGCTAACAGCGTAGCTTATTCAGATTGTAATGTCTGTCAATAGATCTTCCTAAATATTTAACATTTTAAACACTGAAAGACATAAGCTCTGGCTTCCCAAGTGGATCCCACACTCCCGCCTTACACAGTGGCACCCTTATTAGCCTTTCGTGTGACTTGCTCTACGCTGCCCTCACAGGACACTGCCCATGAAGGCTTTCCCTGGATTGAGAAATTTACTTTTCTCTCTTCTCCCCTGCTCATTGACTATATTTCCGAGGTTCCTGCCCATGAAAGAGCTATTTGCTCAAGTATGCGCCCATCCATCAATTCACACACCATACATGTACCTCAAGTATTTTAATTATGCTTCTAAAGAAATTCTTCCTCTACAGCTTTTCTGTTAGAACCATTATGTAGCACACGGCCTATCGGGCAAGGGCCTGGGTTTGATGCCCTGCACTGCAAATAAAACCACCTCTCGCTGTAGACCCCAAGCTGAGGGGTTGGCTTGGCCTAAAAGCTCATTTTTAGTTTTTTCTCCCATCCTCCTTTGCTTGCAAGCCTGACCAAATGCTAGCTCAGATTACCAACACAGAAGCCCTATAAGGGCCACTTCCTGGGAGATCACCAAGGCCAGCTCCTGAATGCCCCAAGAGAGCACAGGTACCTTAAGGGAACCTTGTTCCATAGCCAAGGCCAGCCTGACCCTCACTCAGTACAGTTGCTGTCGGGGTGCTGAAGGCCAAGATGCGGGAACTCTGAGACTCACCTGACCTTGGGAGCCCATGGAAGCCCCTTCGGGCAGGTGAGCCTGTCCGTTTGGGGGTGCTGTAGAGGCGGAGGCATCACCTCATCACGCTCAAGCGGGAATGTCTCCCCCTCCAAACTGTTGTCATCGTCACTCTCTTCCTCCTCTTCTCGAGAGTCATCAGCTTTGTAGGGATCCCGCTCGTTGAAGGCATCTAAATTATCCTGCTTTATCAGCGCCTAAATAAGAAGGAAAGGAAATGAGACTGTCGGAGCGAGCCGGTGCAACACAAAGGGACAGAGCACAGAAGGTGCTGAGCTGAGAGCCAAGAACAACGGAGACCCCAGGGGGAGTCCAGGACTGGGACCAGCCGCTTCATGCCAGGCCCCAAGACCCCATGGCACCCAGGCCTGGAGCCTGGACACAGCACAGGAAACGCACACTTTGAGCAGTGCGTCAAGCCACGTGCACCGCTCTGCTTCTCCACGTGGCACCATGTGCACCCTGCAGGTCTCTCCACATACCTTGTGCTCCCGGCGGCCACGCTTCTGCTGCTGTTCAATGAGGTCTGATGCGGATGCGGGCGGGGAGGCGGCCCTCATGTTGCGGATCACTTTGATGCTGTCCTCAGGCAGGGGGGGAAGGCCCAGGAGGGCGCGCTTCTCAGCCTTCATACTCTGCAGCTCTTCGAAGCCACCGAGCGTGCACTACGTCAGAGGGGTGCAGAGCCGGGTCACCTGGCAGTGAGGCTGGGCCCTGATCATGGCGACAGGTTCAAAAGCACCCGCTACCATCTAGACCCACATCCCCTCCGAAGGAGCTAAGGCCACCCCAAGCAGAACTCAGTGATCTTGGCAAGGGGTAGGCAAGAAAAGCAAGGAGCTAATACCAGATACCCCTCACTCCACACAGAGCACACAATTTTTATCTATTTTTGCTTTTTCGAGACAAGGCCTCACTATGTAGCTCAGGCCGGCCTGAGCTCAGTCCAGCATAGGCTGGCCCTGAACTTGCACTGATCCTCCTGTCCCAGCCTTCCGAGTGCTGCGATTATAGATGTATTCCACCACCACACCCGCTCTAGTCTCTAGAAATCGGTAGGCTTGTGCTTCACAAGTTGACACATGTCAGTCTTTCAGAGTCAAACTGGAGATTCACTCAAAAAAACTAAACCAAACCAAAAGGTTCATGTAAACACCTCCCAGGAAGCTCCAACTCCAGCCCTGTGTGGCCTTTAGAAGCTGCTTGGTGTCACTGGCCCCCAGCAACTGAACTCTCCTTTTGGCCTCAGGCAGGCGTGCTGTCTGCCACGCAGCTCCTCAGCGTCCTGGCTGCACAGTTAGCCTAGATCATGCTTGCCTCCTTCTTCAAGGGACACCTGGCCAAGGGTCCCATCTACACCAGCTCCAACTTACTAACTTACTTAATCGCAAAGTTAACTTACAAACTCCAAGAGCTTCTTCCTGAGAGACACCTTGTCTCGGGTAAAGCTACTGTATGACTGAGAAACAGCCTGTGTGTGTGTGTGTGTGTGTGTGTGTGTGTGTGTGTGTGTGAACCAATGCTGACTCAGTGGCCAAGTCCTCATCAGCTCCTATGAGCTAATATATATCTTTTGCTACCTCCTTTTAGGGAGCTTTCTAATCTCTTTTTAAAAAAACAAAGCAATTATATATTCATAAAATTCAGGATTCAAAAGGACAGTTATCTCATATTATCCACAGGGAACTGGTCCTAGGACCTCTCTCAGCCCTCCTGAAAGCAAAGACCAAACTCTGCAGAAGCTCAACTCCCTAACACAAAGTGGTATACTATTGCATATGACCTGTGTGTATCTCTCTTATATACCTTAAATCATCTCTAGATTACGTATAGCACCTATCTGATGTATATAAATTATTGGGAGATTATATTGTTTCAGGAATAATGATCAAAACAAGTCAATACATGTTCATGCAGATGCTTTTGCTGCTGAGCCATCTCCCCAGCCCATGTTCAGTGTAGATGCAATGTAAATATTTCTAATATGCAGTAGACAATACAAGGAGATCTCCCCCTTTCTCTGTCCCCAGCACCTGAGTTAGGCAAGGAGGTGCTCACCAACACTGTCTTCCAGAGAAGCAAGAGAACCTTCTTCATAGGGAAGTGGGGGGCATGGCCGCTGCAAAATTTGGTCACCATCCCAAACAGCATGATGGCAAATGGCTCGTTGTTGTACAGTGGTGAGCCTGGAGACGACCAAGGGCGTCAGGACCACAGACAGGAACGGAGGCTTCCCAGCGCCCAGCACCAGGTCCAGGCAGAGCCTCAAAAGAGGAGCCCAGGCGCCTACCCAGCTCAGCACGGAAGGTCTGTCGCATCGTCCTCCACTCGGCCTTGTCACCCTCACACTCCTGGTGCACAGTCTCCACAATCAGGTACATGATGTTGAGCAGAACCCTGAGCACGAGAGCCAGCTTACAATGAAGATGGGGGAAGCAAGGGGCACCCCCGCTTCCTCAGATTCCAAATAACACAAAGAAAGCCTCAGCACAGAGAAACTGTGGGGACTGGAAGAGGCTGTAACAGAGAAACTGAGAACCAATCTGAGTGCTCACAAAGCAAAGAATGCTGAGGGCTGTCCCTCATCTTTTTTTGTCACTGCTGCAGGCCGCTCTAGCTGGGAACAGTACTGTTTTGCACTTCCAATTACTAATAAAGTGCTCACTCAAAGCAGATGCTTTAAAAAATAGTTGGTAAAAGAAAAAAGATATGTACAAGACATCACTACTCTAAGCTTCCTAGAAAGGAAAAAACAGAGAAATGGGGTGTGGGGATGGGTGTCAACTCAAGACAGGATCGTAGTTAGAACAAGGACAAAGTGTACAAGGGGAAAGAGTAGGCGCCAGGGACCCTCAGCGTGGTGGGAAACACCAGATATTCAGTCCGAAAAACTCAGTTCACAAAAAGAAATACAATTCCACAGAAACGGAAAGGTAGTCTTATTGCTCAGCAGTTACCATTACTTTCTGCGCAGGCAGGAACCACAGAGCTGTCAGGACTAACCTAACGGAGCCAGATCCAGCATGCAAGAGGGTGGGAACAACTCCACGGAGTAAGACTGCCCGTTTTGTCCCAGCACAAAACATCCTAGCGTCAGGTTCTTGGCAGCAGTGAGTCTTCCCCCACATATAACCGGCTCTTACAACTGGCCTCCAGCCTGGATTTCCCCTGGTTTTCCAGACCCTCCCCGAGACCGCAGCGGGGCCCACCGATCACTCACTGAGCCCTCGTGTGTGCAGGTTAGTGTATGCAGAAGGAGCGCGCACACCCAGGAAACCCCAGGCCCTCCCAAGCTCAGTCTCTGACTAAAGCTCAGGGTGCCAGGCTGGACACTCGCCTCACCTCAGGTCTGTGCTGTCGGCCAGGGAGATGGCAGGCTTCCTCACTGCACTGCTGCACGCGGCACTGTTGCTGCAGGAGAGACGAGCGAGTCACCCAGCAGGGCAGCTAAGTGTTGCCCTGACAACTATCAGCTCGTGGGGAACACTGTGTCGGGACACATGCACCAGAGGCCAGAGGGCAATGTGGTTAGGAGCTCAAACTCTAAACATGCCTGCCAAGGGTTGAACCCCAGCTCTAACACTTACTGGGTATGTGCACTTGGGCAAGGTACTCGACTCCTGTATGTTTCTGCTTCCTCATCTTGAAAACTGAGATAACAGTAGCTATGCTATTAACGTGTTAATCCATGTGATGGATTAACAATGCCTGGGACATGTAGCCCTGAGTGAGTGCTCTTAGCCGTTATTATTGGTAATGGTATCCTTAGATGGGCAGCAACTAACCTGTCCAACAGACAAAGGACCAGTGGTGACAGAGACTACAGCAGGCTTTGGTTGAGCCCAGGTATTAGACATTATCTGGCCTCCTGCTGAAGGAGAAAGTACAGGGCAAATACAAGGGACTTTGAGATTTTAAAGGGAGTTCAAAATGAGAAACCTGGGGCCCGGAGAGATAGCTCAGTAGAATAAGAGCTTGCCTGGCAAGCGCAGGGTCCTGAGCTCAATCCCCGGTAATG